CCAGTCCCTCCTATCAGGAAGCTTCACAAGCCTCTTAGATAACCTCATCCACCAGAGAGCAGACAGCAGAAGCAAGAAGAACTACAATCCTGCAGCCTGTGGAACAAAAACCACATTCACAGAAAGACAGACAAAATGAAAAGGCAGAGGGCTATGCACCAGATGAAGGAACAAAATAAAACCCCAGAAAAACAATTAAATGAAGTGGATATAGGCAACCTTCCAGAAAAAGAATTCAGAATAATGATAGTGAAGATGATCTAGGACCTCGGAAAAAGAAAGGAGGCAAAGATTGAGAAGATGCAACAAATGTTTAACACAGACCTAGAAGAATTAAAGAACAAACAAACAGATGAACAATAAAATAAGTGAAATGAAAAACACACTAGAAGGAATCAATAGCAGAATAACTGAGGCAGAAGAACGGATAAGTGACCTGGAGGACAAAATGGTGGAATTCAGTGCCGTGGACCAGAATAAAGAAAAAAGAATGAAAAGAAATGAAGACAGACTAAGAGATCTCTAGGACAACACTGAACACACCAACATTTACAATATAGGGGTCCCAGAAGGAGAAGAGAGAGAGAAAAGACCCAAGAAAATATTTGAAGAGATTATAGTCAAAAACTTCCCTAACATGGGAAAGGAAATAGTCACCCAAGTTCAGGAAGCGCAGAGAGTTCCAGGCAGGATAAACCCAGGGAGAAACACTGATTCATTTGCAAATATTATCTCCCATTCTGAGGGTTGTTTTTTCATCTTGTTTGTAGTTTCCTTTGCTGTGCAAAAGCTCTGAAGTTTCATTAGGTCCCACAAATTCTTACAAAAGGATAACCTTCCAGGACTGAACCAGGAAGAAACAGAAAATATGAACAGACCAATCACAAGTAATTAAATCGAAACTGTGATTAAAAATCTTTCAACAAACTAAAGTTCAGGACCAGATGGCTTCACGGGTGAATTCTATCAAACATTTTGAGAAGAGCTAACACCCATCCTTCTCAAACTCTTCCAAAAAATGGCAGAGGAAGGAACACTCCCAAACTCATGCTGTGAGGCCACCATCACCCCGATACCAAAACCAGACAAAGACACTACAAAAAAAGAAAATTACAGACCAATATCACTGATGAATATAGATGCAAAAATCCTCAACAAAATACCAGCAAACAGAATCCAACAACACATTCAAAGGATCATACACCATGATCAAGTGGGATTTATCCCAGGGATGCAAGGATTCTTCAATATATGCAAATCAATCAATGTGATAACACCATATTAACAAACTGAAGAATAAAAACCATATGATCATCTGAGGTGCAGAAAAAGCTTTTGACAAAATTCAACACCCATTTATGATAAAAACTCTCCAGAAAGTGGACACAGAGGGAACCTACCTCAACATAATAAAGGCCATATACAACAAACTCACAGCAAACATCATTCTCAGTGGTGAAAAACTGAAAGCATTTCCTCTAAGATCAGGAAAAAGACAAGGACATCCACTCTCGCCACTATTATTCAACATAGTTTTGGAAGTCCTAGCCATGGCAATCAGAGAAAAAGAAATAAAAGGAATAGTAATTGGAAAAGAAGAAGTAAAACAGTCACTGTTTGCAGATGACGTGAATCAATGGACAAAGGATTAATCTCCAAAATATATAAACAGCTCATGCAGCTCAATATTAAAAAAACAAACAACCCAATCCAAAAATGGGCAGAAGACCTAAATAGACATTTCTCCAAAGAAGACCTACAGATGGCCAAGAGGCACATGAAAAGCTGCTCAACATCACTAATTATTAGAGAAATGCAAATCAAAACTGCAGTGAGGTATCACCTCACACCAGTTAGAATGGGCATCATCAGAAAATGTACAAACAACAAATGCTGGAGAGGGTGTGGAGGAAAGGGAACCCTCTTGCACTGTTGGTGGGAATGTAAATTGATAGAGCCACTAGGGAGAACAGTATGGAGGTTCCTTAAAACACTAAAAATAGAATTACCATATGATCCAGTAATCCCACTACTGGGCATATACCCAGAGGAAACCTTAATTCAAAAAGACACATGCACCCCAATGTTCATTGCAGCACTATTTACAGTAGCCAGGCCATGGAAGCAGCCTAAACGCCCATCGACAGACGAGTGGCTAAAGAAGATGTGGTTCATATATACAATGGAATATTACTCAGCCATAAAAAGGAACGAAATTGGGTCATTTGTAGAGATGTGGATGGATCTAGAGACTGTCATACAGAGTGAAGTAAGTCAGAGAAAAATATCGTATATTAACGCATATATGTGGAACCTAGAAAAATGGTACAGATGAACCGGTTTGCAGGGCAGAAATAGAGACACAGATGTAGAGAACAAACGTGTGGACACCAAGGGGGGAAAGTGGAGGCGGGGGTGGGGATGGTGGTGTGATGAATTGGGAGATTGGGATTGACATGTATACACTGATGTGTATAAAATGGATGACTAATAAGAACCTGCTGTATAAAAAATAAATAAAATTCAAAACAAAAAGGTAGCTGTGGGAGCTAATGGATGTGTTAATTAACTTGATTATGGTAATAACTTCACTATAGATATGTATATCAAATCACCATGTTGTACACTTTAAATATATTACCATTTTGTTTGTCAAATATACCTCAATAAAGCAGGGGAAAGTTTTTTAAATTAAAAAAAAAAAGTTCCCGGATGAAGCAGATGCCGCGAGTCATGGGCCACACATTCAGTAGCAAGAATGCAGAACACTGTGACGAAGACCTGTCACAGCATGGCCCTTCGGTTCACCAGGGACTAAAAGGGTCCCTCCAGTACTGTGTTTACCTCTCAGGTCTGTGTCAGAATGCACATTGCCAGAACTACTGCTTTGAGTTAAACAGTCAGTGTGGGAATGGGCTTGCTTTGCAAAACACTCTATAAAAATATTCACACATATTACTTGTCAATTTCCACAAACCCCTTCCTTCTCCCTTTAGCCCAAAAGACCTTTGTGACATTCATGTCTAGGCATTAGGAAAACATCCTTGCAAGTTCTCACCTCGGAGTTTGTAGGGGAGAATCAGTGGTTGCATTAAAAGTAAGATCTGAGTGGGTGGTATGATCCATGTGTGATGGGTATCTCAGAGTTTCCAGAAAGATCTCTGGGCTGAATAGGAAGAGAAAGGAAAATGACAAAATACTCTTGTGGAAGATGGCTGCTGTGGGTCATTCTAGCTTTGCTAAGGGCCTGCCTGGTTCTGTTGGGAGACGTGAGAGACTTTTATTGGAGGTGGAAATTTCCTGAGAACTCCCCCTGGGCGACAGCTCCCGCACTCATAGATAGAGGTTGATGCAGGGAGTACGCAAAAGAGTGATCACCCTGGAGTCTATAATGGAGCTTCCTGACCCACCACAGGCAACAAGAATGATGTTCCTTTTAGCGAACATGCCCACCGAGGCCAGAACAAATCCAACCGTGGAAATGGCAAGAATCAATCTCAAAGGCTGGCAGCAGAGCAGGTGGCCCGGGAGGGAAGGCCGGGAAGGAGGGCTGTAATCACAGTTGTAATAAATGGGAAAGGCAGCCCAGCTCTACAAGAGGGTGATGAGAAACAGGTCAGAGCTGGGTAAGCATCTGAGCAGTTCTAAACAGTGACAAAGCTGCAGGGATTGGACAGTGTTAGTGTGTGTGGTCCCATCCACGTGGGGCTGGATGAGGACGTAACACTGGCAACAGGCAGAGTGGAGATTCTGGAACTCTTACTGCCCACCCCAACCATGAAAAAGATAGCTCAGAAATAGGGAAATGCCATAGGGGGGTGCAAGGGAAGGCACTGAAGGAAGACAGGGCTATTTAACTCTCTCATACACACACACACACACGCATACACACTCACACTGGTAAATTAGGCTGAAAGTTTCTTGGTGCAGAAAAGCAATCAGCAAGGTAGCGGGGAAAACTGCTGAAGGAGAAATATTAAAAATGTCAAAGGTCTGACAGGTTAGCCAGGCAAGAAGGTGAGCAGATTAAAGAGGGGACTGAAAAGGCACCAGAACTCATACTGGCCTCACAGGGCCACAATATGAGTACACACATAGCAAGAAGCTAATAATGCCAGAGAGAAAGACTCAAGTTTGGAAACAGCTGGAGAAGACCCAATCTCTTAGTCTTCACAAGGTACTATGATTCTCTGCAAAGAAAACTAACAGTAAAAGCAAACTGATTGATCTAGGAGGGCATACATACACATGCGTAGATTTACTGGTATCAGGAATATATGCTAAGGTCCGGGAGTAGAAAACATTATCAAAACTCAGAGGAAGGAGCTGTTACTGGCGAATCAGGGAAGCACCAGAGAGAAGGGAGCTCAGAGGGGTGGGGCAGTGACCAGGTGTCTGAGGCTTAAGATGTTAACAAGAAAATTGTGGACATCACCTCGCTCTAACTTTACGACAAAAATGTTTGTGATGCATTTAGGAAGTGGCAAATACTAACCAAAAGGTTGCAAGGCTCCTAATTATTTTGCCTTTTTAAAGGGTCTCTGTCAGAAAAATTTTGAAATCTGTTGGTTTATTAACACTGTCACATATGCACACAAGCCTAAAGTGAAATGGAGAACCGATTTAATTATCTAAAATAGTTTAATGCAGCGTATCACCACTGTTTAATTGATGTATTTCCTCAAAAAATGGTTTTACAGGGAGTGGAATTTTATGAGTAATTGTAGCAACTTATTTTGTTTATATCAACGTTTCTCAAACTGGGTGCTATTGACATTTTGGACCAGATAATTCCTAGTTGGCAGGGATGGAGGGAATGTGTGGGGAGGTGGGTTTCCCATGCATTGTAGGATGTTTAGCAGAATCTCTGACCTCTACTCACTAACAACCCCCAGCTGTGACAACCAAAACTATCTCTAGGCGTTGTCAAATGTCCCCAGGGGGACAAAATTATTCCCACTTGAGAACCAGTGGTCTAAAGTATACCTAAGTCAGGGAATTCCCTGGTGGTCCAGTGGTAGGACTCAGCGCTTTCACGGCTGTGGCCCCGGGTTCAATCCCTGGCTGGGGAATTAAGATCCTGTAAGCCACATAGCCAAAAAAGAAAAAAAAAAAGTATACCTAAGTCTAGCTACCTAGCTAGCTACACAGGTAAATCCAAGGCTTACAATAGAGAAATATGGGATTTTATGTATTGATCAGAAGATGGATGCTATAATTACTCAATTATTTCTAAAGATTTTCTAAGATTCTCTGATTCTGCGAGAAACTCCGCTAACCAATAATCAAAACAGCCATACATCTCATATTGTATTAGTAGTTTATGCTTTTCATCTCATTTGTGTCCCCTGGACCTTCAGGCACGGATTTTTAGCACCTTGGTGTTCTGTGATTGCCATACTCAGGTTCAGCTGTCATGCCCAGATCACAGGGAAAAAGACAGCAGTTGAGTCTCAGCGCATAACCAGTATCAAAGGCTATATTCTAAAACATGACAGAATTCCATTTGATTTGCTGCTTTGAAAGGGACAAAAACAGGACTGACCAGTACAAGAGAGTTAATTATTGTTGATGACAAAGTGAAATCAATCAGATTTAGAAAAGAAGTCTGGAGTTAAATGTAAAGGACAGATTAAAAACCATCTCTTGATTGTCCACAATTGTGCTATGACTTTTATAGCTTTGCTTTTCCATCAATTACCATAAAACACATTCCTAATGTGTTATAATTCACACAGAGTTCTCTTTATGTTTTTTTGTTGTGGTGGATAAGCAATTTTAAGTGCATCCAAGAAAGTGTTTCTTTACCAAATTGTTGTACACCGTAAGCAATGCAAAATTGAACTTTATATGCTATAAAGAGCACCGAATTAGGTCAAACGCAGTCCCAGCATCCACTGATCTCTGAGTCTCCATTAGCTAATCTGTAATATGGGACTAATAATAACTTCCTTGCCCTTTTTACTCAAATGAGATTCAAGTGAATGAATGCATATGAAATCAACATGAGTACTATAGACATATAAGAAATTGATACTATACTCAAGCATGATTCTGTAATTAAAACTCCCTCTACCCAAGGGTTTCAATGAAGGCAAAAGAACTTTATTTTAAAATATTACCTAACACAAAGTAACTCTAATTAATAGATTTTCTATAAATTGTTGTAGATATATATCTTTCAAGTACCTGGTTAAATAAATTTAAGAATATTAAAAAAGAATAAAATCCTCATATCATTCATAAACCTCATTAACAAAAATAGGCTCAATTGATTGCCTCACCATTAAAGGTGGGAAAATAAATACATACATATATACATCTGTGCTTCACTTCAAATCCGTTTGTGCTTTTATTTATTTGTCTATGTCCAGAGGACAGGACTAAACTGCTGATAGTGGCCAGATGTTACAGAGCAGAGGGAAACTGAAAGATGGATGGTCAGGGCATCTGAATTACCCTTTGTTAATTTCCCTCTCTGGACTCTCTGGGGCAGTAGACTTTGGACCAACGCAACCCACAGGTGAGTTCAGACAGCACTCCTGCATACTGCAGGCTTCTAAACAAATCCACTCATAGTACTTGGTTTTGACTATGTAGCTTTAAAGAATAGATTAATAGTGTATTTAATCATAACATCAACAAGTGATTACCAAGCATTAAACCTGTTTCAGAATTTGACTTGTTTTTACCTTCAGCCAATTCTCCTCACATTAAAGAACCATTTATGCAAATATAACATGAGGCAAAGGGGAGAGATAAAAAGCGGCCTAAGACCTTATGAATGACTACATTCAGCCTGACTGATATTATTTGGTTTTCTTTAGTGAAATTATATTATCCATTGTCAAAAGAACCGCTCCTTTACACTGATGGCATCAGAGGGCGCTTAGGCAAAAATTAGAAGTGAGAAGCAAGAGGGCTATTTCTTCATTTGGCTCCTCTTGAATGTAAAAGGCACACAGTGCGCATTGAATTCTGAGAAGCTAAAACTCTGTCACTGAGCCGCAAATGTCCTCATACATCAAAGGAGACCCAAGTCAGCAGGATAAACCTCCAGCTTAGGTAGCCAGACCTGGGCCTGTCTGCCCCTGATCATGAGAGTGATGCATTATTAACAAAACACAAGACATGTGCAACACCTTTGAGATAAGCGGTGGTCAAGGCAACCCAGGGAGCTAGCAACGAGGGGCAACAAAACAGGAGAAGCAATGTTTTCAAAGGCTGGACAGAACTAAAAAAAAAAAAAGTGCTGTCAGGGAGAGAAGATAAAACTGGTAAACAGTGCAACAAGGGGTGTGCTAGAGATAAAATAAGAGAAAGAAGAATCAGCAGAGGCAGTTCTGACATTTCCGGCACTTGAGTGAAATGCACTTGGGTTTCAAAGATGTCAGAGTCCGAGGGATGATTTCTCTAGCTGAGCTCCAAGGGATCATGAAGCAAGATGGATGGAGAGACAGAAAGCCATCGCCCCTTCAGCTAGAATGGGCAGTGCAGGATGAATCAAATGGGGTTGATATTTCTGTTACACGGAGCTCGTTGGTGAGACATTTCATGGGTGGTAATTCTCCCTAGTGAATAAAGGCGTGTGTCCTAGGAAGACTGTTGTGTCCCAGGAATTTAGGATTCATGGTCAGGCTGAGACAGCCACACCTTTCAACATACTTCCTGCAGGAGGGCTCAGCAAGGATTTCAACTGGCCCTTGAACCATCATCAGTCAAGCCCTTCTAATTCTCCAAAACCACAACATAGTATTTAGCTGTAAGATGAACACTAATTAAAAAAAAATTTAAACCACAGTTGTTTTTCCCTTGTTGAATATGCCACACCTAGCTCAGTCCCTGGCAGCATTAACTGGATTCTCAACAAGTATCTGTTCAATGGATAACTGAAAGGGAAAGAAGATTTACCAATTATAGTCCCCCAAAATATTCATTCATTGTTTTAGACAGAAAGTGAATGCTTTCTTTGAAGTTCTCTTCCTGTTTATTTTTTGGTTTCCCTTTATAGATTTTTTTTCATCAATTTTTACTTTTGGGTCCAGAGCAGTGACACAGACTATAATATGCTTTAAAATCTTCTGGAGAACTTATAAGAATGCAGCTTGCTGGGTCCCATCAACTGATTCAGATTTCCCCAGCATAACCGCATCAGATTTTGGACTCAGTAGGTTTGGGTTGGGGTCCTGGAATAAGCATTTCTGACAAGTTCTCTGGCACTGGCAAGTCAAAGTATCTTCCTAAGATGAACTTCAATATGTGTCCATATTTTGATACGTGATGGGCTGACTCACCCCATCACATATCATCCCACATATTGTGGGATGAAACTAAACCACTCACTCTGATCAAAACATATAAATAAGGAAACTGTCAGTTCTAAAAACAAGAACTAAGTTCTAAAACCTAAAGACAAGAACTAAGTTCTAAAACCTAAAGACAAGAACTAAGTTCTAAAACCTAAAAACAAGAACTAAGTTCTAAAACCTAAGAAGCTTTATAGTGTCCAATGGAAGCAGTGGTGCTCTCAGCTACAGCCTGGGATTTTCTTAGTTAAAAGACATATCGGGCTTCCCTGGTGGCGCAGTGGTTGAGAGTCCGCCTGCCGATGCAGGGGATACGGGTTCGTGCCCCGGTACGGGAGGGTCCCACATGCCGTGGAGCGGCCGGGCCCGTGAGCCATGGCCGCTGAGCCTGCGCGTCCGGAGCCTGTGCTCCGCAACGGGAGAGGCCACAACAGTGAGAGGCCCGTGTACCGCAAAA